CATTGCTCTAAATCCATATCTTCAAGTTTCGTTTTTCTGCATTTCGTCTGCTGTTCGACTGCAAATTCGCGTTTAGCTTCAAAAATACTTTTTCTTCTGCTGTAATATCTTACTGTTGCAGTATGAGCACCGATTAACGCTAAACATTATTAACGAAAGATAAAGACAAATGGAAGAGCGAAATAAAACAAGAAAAAATTTAGAAAAAAACCTCTGCAGCAATCAGCTATCACCTGCGAGCACAAACTTGCACATAATCCACCTACAAAACAAATTCCATTTGTTTTCCGCTGATCATCACTCAAACTCAACATCCTCAGCATTGCCTAGTAACCTCAATTTTACAACTAACACGTATTTTTAGGGTCTTGTTTAAACACCGAATACCGTCTTCTGCTGAAGCACTGTTGTGCAACAGTTGTACACTAACCATTGTGTACAGAGAGATTCTAAGCGTACAACAAAACCACTACTACCACCGATAAGCAGCAAGTGAAAACAACATTGCAAGTCAGTTAGTTCTTCCTTCATTCCATTGTACTGAAGAACACGGATAAAGACGGGGAAAGTGAAAGGGATAAATAAAGAGGGGAATCAAGGCATTTTAATAACTTTGTCTGAACTACTTACTGCTGCTTTTATAAATACCAATCACTTTAAGTGCTTTTTTATATTTAATTCAAATTTTTTTATTCTCTTTGCTCTCACTGAAAACAGCTCATTATCGGCGATAACGCAGTGAAAACTCATTAAAGCAGTAACAAATTTCTTTACTTGACATAAAAATAAAAAATTATAAGAGAGAAAAGAAGAAAAATCAGAAATAAAAAAAAAATTTTCTTAATACTTTTTTACTCAAAAATTCAGGACAATACTCACCGTCACTTCACCAGTAACGTGTATCGCCATTAATTAGAAATTAAAAAAACTGAAATTTTTTTAAAAGACTGTATAATAATATTTTATTAGGAAAAAATAGTATAAACATTGAACAATTTTAAGTTGTGCTCTGTAAATAATAAAAGAAAGACAATTAACACGTAAATATTGAAACAAAAAGTGTTACAAACAACTTTCACTATTTAGTGGTTAGTTTTCAAAATAGACATTGTTAGAATTTCAAGATTAAACTTTTTTGTCACTCCACTAGGTTTTTTTTTTTTTTTTTTTTTTGCGAACTGTTCTGTCCGAAGGAACCAAATGACAACAACGAGTGATGATCATATAAAGTGCCTGCTTTAAGCCTTGCTTTTGTAACATTTAAGCTTAACTGTTACTGCTGTATAAGATAATCTATTAACTATTTGTTGTTATGATTGCATTCAAATTTCAAAATCCTAACAACTGACTGTAACATATCAGAACTTCTAAAATCGCTTCATTGACGCTGGCTGCCTACAAATAACGCTTATACCTGCCTAGGGTTTAAAATTAATACAAAAAAGGAAAATTGACTATGTGAGAAGTTTATGTAATTTTCATGCTGATAAAGGTAAATAAGCAAAAGCATTTATAAAAGCTGATGCATTTAGCTACTGCAAAATAGTTCAAAAAATAAACAAATAAAATTAGAAAAACAACGCGAAAAAGAAGAAACTTTCACCATATGTTTTGCAACAAAAACGTCTTGACTTATAAAAAACGAAAAGACAATAACAGACTATTTTAAAACCTTTTCGTTTGTATCCAATTTTTCTTCTATTTTTTTGTCTTTTTCTTCTTTTTCTTTTTCTTCATTTTCTCACTGTCAGAATGTAGAGAAAAGAATAAAATGCCAATTTTTTGCTATGCCGATTTATCAAAACTATGTGAGCCAAAATTCTTCCCCTCGCTCAAACATTTACAGCAATGGGAGCAGTAAAGCAGGTGTGCCCCAGATAGCAACAGCAAAAAAAAAAAAATGAAACTTATATAAAAATTATAATAAAAGTTACAGTTGAAAATAGACTAGAAATAGTTTCAAAATAAATGCTGCTGAAAAACAAAAGGCAGAAACAAGAGTTTTAATTTTTAGACTGGTACAGATGCAACAGAATATCATGAAAGATTCGTCATAATGTAGAAACAACGACGGCATCAACAAAAAAAAAAAAGCAAATACCAAAAAAAAAGAAAAAAGAA